TCTCCTCCTTCTTCTTCTTCTTCTTCTTCTTCTTCTTCTTCAGACTAGAGACTTATACTAGTTGGACAGAGACTGTGGTACTTACCTAATCGGAGACTTGGAGATTGTTGAGGTTGATACTCGGCTGCATCACAGTTGGACACCGGTTACATCTGGACTTTGTATCTCCGACATTGGTGACCTATGGGCCTCGACATTTTGATCTTGTTGTATGACATTTTGGACTACCATATCGGAGACCTATCAGACTCTATCTATCGGTGTTGTCTACCTCTCCACCTCCTTCGTCTCTCCTCCCACCTTTCATCTGTGAATGCGTGTACGGGATCTGGGCATCGTCTATGAATGGCCCAGACCCCACCATCTCACGATTGTATGTATGTGGAGTGATGCTATGTGAGTCAGTCTATATGAGTCAGTCTATGTGAGTCAGTCCGTTTATCAGACTTCCGCTGCATATATGCTCATCCTACATTGGTTGATCTTTGGTTCTGCCCATACTCATTGAAGTATGCAACATAGGTGCAGGAGAAACATAGACCTAGACATAGTTTAGTGGGACTCGGGCCTTGTTAGCGCTGGATTTCAACATATGTGTAAGTTCAAGGCATATCAAGTGCAACAAAATCGAATAACGTTACACTCCTTTCTTTTTTTCCCAGTTTAATGAATGAATGACTACTTTTTAATGTCTTCGTTTTCCTGCAGCGTACTTCACTCAAGCTGTGCGGTCGTTGGAAATGGGCCCAGTGTTGGAAGATCAGACACAAATGGCGAGGCCATTGACCGGCATGACGCTGTGAGTGGCAATGCTCATTCTATGTCTAGACTCTGTAGATGACATCTTTTTTTCTTTCTTTTTTTCTTTCTTTTTTTTTTTTTTTTTTTTAACGCGTGTCGTCCTTGTGCAGGGGCCATGGTAATCTTCTCTTTCTCTGTATTGTTCCAATTTTACCGGAAGTCCGCGAAGGACACTGTAGATGACATCTCTTCTTATGTTTTAACAAAATTAAGTTTAATTAACATTATTAACTTTTAACTTTTAAGTTTTATCATTTGACTCATTTCTCAAGTTCTCACGTCTCTCCTTCCTACCTACCTGCCGCGCTCATATATGGGCGACTTTCACATGCATGAAAAGCTGTGTTTTGGTTCTTTTTAACCTTTTTCGATTGATTCGGCCACACTGTGCCTTTTCAAGACACACCTTAAGCATCATTTTAACGACGCTATCTGGGTTGTGCCACAGTCTGCCACGTGGTCACATTGCGTTGTTTCACAATCAATGAACAGCCAGTGTGAAAGGTGCAGGGCGCCGCGTGTGACCAAATGGGTGCTCTGCGAACACTCAATTTGGGGGTGGGAGGATGCCGAGCTAGGTTACCAGTGAAGACTCGTAAAGTCAATTTGAAAACGGCGCAAGGGGGCTATCACAATGCCCTTAACAATGGGTGTCATTTCCCCCACTGTAAGATGGGGGTCCTCTGCAGTATAGGTTGGCCCATCTGAGTCCTCTCCTAGGACTGGTTATGGGTCAACCTATAGATGTGCATACATAGTGTAGCAGAAATACTCCAACATTATGGCAAAACTTGAACATAGTCAGCAATATAGCCAATTTGATTGAGCTCAGTCTGTCCTTCTGGACATGTGTTCAAATTGGAACAAGACACAGATGATTAGCATGGCCCCTGTGCAAGGCTGACACACATCAATCGAGAAACGGTCCAAATTCTTACCAACACAAACTGGAAAAAAGGGTAAAGTGAAGAAGAGAGACAAAACACAGCGGCCCGGGCGATACAAACCGATGCAGCACAACAAAGCACAAGACAGGACAGTTAGAACTGACTGGCAGACAAAGGGGCTGACAATCCACAATTGGAATGTCAACGGCCTAGGTAACATATTATCCGAAGAAGACAAACTATGAGATATTCGGATAGTATTGACTGGAAAAAAGAAGCCCAAACTGGACATCATCCTTCTCCAAGAAACCCACTTGTCGAATCTTGCACACCACACCAGAATCAAAAGGACAATGGAAACAAACCTGGGCGCGTGCGACTTACATTGTGGTCCAACAAAGAGCGACATACCAAATGAGGAACAACACTCCTCATACCTCGCTCATCCAAAATCTGGACATGAAACGTATATGCCCCCAATGCAGAATGTGAACGACTGGAGTTCTTCACCGACATCAGAGCGATCATCCCAACCCCACTACCAGTAATCATAGCAGGGGACTGGAACACTACCTTAGACCCTAACCTTGACCGTATCTCTCGCTCCCTGCTGATGGGGTCTACACGCGCAGGTACCCAGATTCGAAACATCATGACAAAATTCGAACTAATCGACCCGTTCAGAACACTCCATCCCCTAGCGAGAGCCTTTTCCCTTGTCAAAAGAAACCGAGCCAACCATATTTTCGTATTACGGATCGACTTCTTTCTGATTTTCGAACTCCTCCATGGCACAACTAAGGAGGCTGAAATTCTACCTGCACCTGTCTTTAAAGGGCTGGACCATAAACCCATACACCTGCTCCTCAACTTTAACGCCCCAGTGGAAAGAGGACATGGCTTCTACAGACTGAATAACTCCCTTCTCTCCACAAACCGTCTAACAGAGGCAGTTAAATGGAATTGGTTATTCATGCGACAAGAAGAAGTAAGGCACAGGGACAGACACCAAAGGTTCATAGACAGCTACTCAGACATGGCACTGGCGGTGTCGACTGAATCAAGAAGCATAGCGGCCGAACGCAAAATCAGAAAGGAAGAACTTCAAATTGCTATCACAATTGCAGAGGCTAACCTCACGTCACACCCCACCAACGAGTTCCACTACGACCTACTCAAAGCCTCGAAGGAAGAGCTTAACGAATGGAGGAGATGGAAACTAAGAGGCCTACAAATACGAGCCAGGATGACTGACTACACTCTGAACGAATCTATGACCAAGTTCTTCTTCGCCAAAATAAAAGCCAATGCTAGAAACAACACGATTGAGAAGTTGAAAGACCCATCGGATCAGGGGAGAGCAAAAACAGCTGGCTTGGACATGGCAAGGATTGCCAGATCCTTCTATGCAGCCCTCTATGAATCCAAAACACCCTCACCCCTCTCCACGATAAACATAACAGCCCATCAGCAAATGATGTCTTACCTAGACAGGACAATCTCATCAGAACAGTCAGAGGGCTTGGAAAAACCAATCACCCTAGGGGAACTCCAAGCGGCTTTATCACAGATGGGAAACGACAAGACACCAAGGATCGATGGACTCTCCAAAGAGTTTTGGGTTCAGTTCTAGCCAATTTATCAACGACAGCAAAGTGAAGGGAGGTCTGGGCTCATTCCTAAGCACCAGTGTGGTCTCGTTACTCCACAACAAATATTGGCGAAAGCACTAGCTAACAGGATCATAAACCTCACCGACAAGTGCTTTCACATCGATCAAGCAGAGGGTTCATTCTAGGTAGATACATACTAGACAATGTGATGACCCTGAATGAGACAGCAAGGAAGGTGACTGAAAAATGAATGCAGGCGGCCATTCTATTCCTCGATTTCGAAAACGCCTACGATCAAGTGAATTGGGATTTTTTCCAGAACTGCATGGAAAAGATGGGAGTGGGCCCAAATTTCAGAGAATGGTTCAGAGTTCTATATGGCGACACCACGGGCAGAGTCCAAATAAACAGGATAGTGTTAGACGCCTATCCGATATCAAGGTCCGTCCGTCAAGGTGACCCACTGGCTCCCCCCATCTTCCGGTTCATCATGGAGGCCATCGCTTCCTTCCTCCGCAAAGACCCCTCTATAGACCTCCTCACCACACAGAACTACGACCCCCTTCACGACTTCGTTCCGCCGACAACGCTGATGTTCGTCGATGATCTAACAGTCCTCATTCGTGTCAACAACTCCTCGTTCCAAGCCCTCGTCAGAGCCATGGAAGCCTTTCGACTAGCATCATAAATGAAGGTAAACTGGTCCAAAACCGAAGGCTGGTGGTTCGCTGACAGCACCCCTCCTCAACCTCCCGATCTATCCACTCCCATGTCATGGTCCACGGGCGACCAAGCACTTAGATACCTGGGAATCATGGTCAACAAGGACGACACATGGCCAAGGATGGGCCAAATCTTAATCACAACGGCAATAGCCCGCCTAGCCCCGTGTAAGAGAGCCCAGGCATCCCTGATTGGCAGAGCACTTATCATAAACACGTCAATATTTTCCACGCTATGGTACATGGCATCCATCTCGTCCCCCCCTGACGAAGAACTCAAGACTCTCAAGGCGAGGGTCAGATGTTATTTATGGACGGGCGACCCAAACAAAACTACCTGCATAAACAAGGTTCCCTAGCAAATTGTCATCAGGAAACCGCAAGGAGGACTGGGGATCATTGACCCTAGACAGGAAACTATCGCCTTGCAGATGAAATAGATAATTAAGATTCTCACCAAACAATTCCTCCCATGGACGAAACTGGCCTTGGACAGTATAAGGAACCTCGCTCCAATAAGCTCCCCCATCCAATACACAAGCCCCCCTCTGGATTATGGCCAAAGAATGGGCAATCAAAAACAGGGAGGACATCAATGAGAAGTTGAGAACCCAGCAGCAACCAACCAGTCAACCCACCCCCTCGCCTAACCCATACTGGACGCCAACTCTGAAAGCCTGGTGCCAAATGATGCCTAGCAAACACCGGGCACTATACAACCAAGAAGAGGTTCTCGGGCAACCCCTCTTCTGCAACCCTTGGATCAAAGACACAGCAGGTCACCCCTGGTCCCTCTACTTGAGAGATAGGAGATGGCTCACATGGGTAGAGAGAGGAGTGTGGCAGATCAAACACCTATGGTCAGCGAAACGGAAGGACTGGTTGACGGCCCAAAAACTCCGAACCTCCCTCAGGGGGGGCCACGCGCTTGAAACCAACTTAGCAGCGATGCACCACAGCATCCCTGCCCAGCGGTTAACGCTCCTCAAAAAAACATTTACTTGGAAAACAGGCGATTGGGGCATACTTATTACACACACTCCACCTGAGAGGGCCTACCGCTTCGGATCTAGATCAGACTCTTCAAGCTACCGATCGAACTTCTTATCCTACCCTATCGCCAACCATACCCTTCAGGAGCTCGTAATCCAGAACAAGGACCCCCAGGCCACGCGACTAGAAACCTTCCTCCTCAGGAAGGTCCGAGTCTCCCAGAACAGACCATGGGTCATATCCCAGCCAGAACTCAGTATTGAAGACCTAGAATTCGACCCCAAGGAATGGAGGTGGAAACAGGGCACCACAGGGAAGTCGAGAACAATCTCCCAATACGATGTAAAATTGGCTATGACTTTGGGCTACAGACCACAGATCCGAATCCAAGGTTGATAGAGAAATGGCAGACCAGCCTGAATCTGAACCCGCCAGCTCAATCCTCCATCCCGTGGGCCAAATACCTTCTTATCAGACCAGTTAGAATCCGAAGTATGCAATGGCTCCTTGCACACTCAGCCCTCCCGGTCAACCAATGGCTTCACAAAAGAAGGAAACAGTCAAACCTGAACAGCTCGGAAATCTGCGCGATGTGCAACAAAAACACGCCTGAAGATATCCCACACTGCCTACTCTTCTGTCCCGAAGCGACCTGGTACTGGAACAAAGTTCAGAAACTATGGTCTAACCTCTTTTCAGCCCCACCCCCCAACACTTCCCCCCTAACCATTCTATTCCTCCCGAACACTCCCGGGCACCTCAAGGGCAGCAGGGGTGTCTGGTTCCAGCTACTCAGAAAGCTAACTCTCTGGATCATATGGAAACGACGATGCATACAGACTACTGAGGGAGCAGAGGTGGCAAAGGAGGAAATGTGGACTCTTCTGATACACATGGCAGAGACCGAAATCTGGAGCAGATGGCAGACGATATCTTTATCAGCGAAACACAGACCAGATAAGCACGCAGCTAAGAGACGAGCATTCCGAAAGGACTGGCTAATAAAGGGCAAGGTGGCCACCATAACCGACAACAGACTGATATGGAAAACGTGGTATCAAGGGTAACGAAAAGGCGACAACCGAACTTGGGGGCCCAAGACCGAAGATCAGTACGACAAACACACGAACAAGCAGGGTGATAAACAGGGCGTGAGAAAGCCAAATGTGCACGAAAGTCAGCAAAACCTCTCACTTCTCTAGTTAGGTAGAGGAATATCTGGCAGGCCTATTACGAGTTGAGAGGGCAAGCCGACAGTCAATCCTCCTGCAAGGGAGTAATCAATGCTGGTCAGGGATCCTTCGGCCTGACGGAAGGAAGCGTGAGCGTGTATTATATGTAAATCCTTTGACTTGCCGGGGGAATAGGAACCGGGAAGAAAAAAAAAGAAAAAAAAAAAAAAAAAAAAGGAGATTTACCAAGACAATCGAGGGTTCAGAAGTGGCCAAGGAGGAAATGTGGATCCTCCTGCTGAGGATGGTGGAAACAAAGATACGATGCAAATGGAGGAGTGTATCGACAGCAACGAGAGGCAAACCTCAAAGACTTACACTCAGGAGACGAATCTTCATGAGAGACTGGTTGCTACAGGGAAAGATCGCGACAATCTCAGACAATAAACTACACTGGAAGAAATGGGCCACCCCAGCAACGACAGGGAATGTAGCCCCGAGAGGGACAAATTGAGGTTCTAGCCTCAGATTGACAGACGTCTCTCCCAGTTTCTTGCGCTTCAAAATCCATTCGACAGACCCAACAGGGTTTCTGAGAGGAAAACTAGGGCAGGGCAAGCTGACAGTCAATCCTCCCATACAGGAGTAATCAGTGCTGGTCAGGGTTCCTTCGGCCAGACGGAGGGAAGCATGAGTGTGTAACATGATGTATTCAATTTTGACTTGCCGGGGGAATAGGAACCGGACTGACGCTCCCCAGAATGGACATGGAGCCAGGACCATAAGGACCTGTTCCAAAAAAAAAAAAAAAAAAAAAAAAGAAGTAAGAAGTCCAAATTAACAAGAAAACGAAAACGAAAACGAAAACGAAAAAGAAAAAGAAAAAGAAACAAAAAACACTGAGCAATGAGCATACTTCATGTAGAAAAAATGCACATCATGTGAGGCTCTACTCTCGACGAGGACACAATGTGCACAAAAACGAACCAGAGTGCTCAACTCATTCCAGCATCGCCCTTCTGTTGCTATTCTGCTGGAAATAACTGCTGGTGTCATCGCCATTTACAGAAAGGAGATAAGAAAGCACACACCTCCCTCCTTTTCTAACCCGGCCGGAACATCTCTGATGGTGGTGTTTTCAGAGAACTAGGACCTCGCCCGGCTCGAACATCTCTTATGGTGGTGTTGAAGGTGTTCTAAGAAAACTTGGAGTTCACTCTTCTCTCTTTCCATCAACTTTGGCGATTGAGTCTGATGCCGTTCTCAGAGGAGATGGCACCGTGTGCCGATACCAACTCCTCTCACCAGCTGTCTGACTAAAATTCTCTTACTCGAAATCTTTCACGAATCGGATTCAACTTAAGAAAGCAAACGCGGCGTACCATAGCTGACTGTTTGTCCAGTGATACTTTTTTTTTTTTTTTTTTTTTTTTAATGAAAACAGGCCTTTTGGTCCTGGCTCCTTCTATTCTGGGGAGCGTCAGTCCGGTTCCTATTCCACCGGCAAAGTCAAAAAGGAAGATTGCTTTACATCATCGACTCACGCTTCCTCCCGTTTGGCCGAAGGACCCCTGAACAGCATTGTCCAGTGATACTTAAGAACCCATAGTTGTGAATCTTGTGATTGATAAGTGTCACGTGGTGTTTCAGAAAAGCAATGCAAACTTGGAAGGAATGACATGGACATAGGGTTTGTGTCACTACAGGTGTTCAGAGTGAATTTTGCGCCCAAGAAGTTCTTCGAGAGCTATGTCGGAAACAAGACGACATACCGTAAGTCTATCATTGACCACAGTCTTTTCAACTCCAGTATGTATAGTTGTATACAGAATAGATGGTGTGTTCATACTACATAGTACATCCTATTTTGCTCTACAGTAAAGACTCCGAAGACTCAAATTGAAAAAAGAAAATAAAGAGTTTGACTAAGTGATAATTCCAGAGTATTGATATGAAGTAACAAAATTTACTATTTATATTACATTAATTTACATATGAAACAGGTGCAAGTGTCTGAGCCCTCGGCATAAGGCCCTGCAGCAGGCGCGTGCCCGCCCTAAGTGAAGGCCGGGGCCCCTGAATCTGAATGCGCCCTGAACTCGTCAATTTTTGCAAATCTTGGTCGGCGCCAGACGGTTGCCACGTGCCAGTTGGTTACATCTGCCCTGCACGTGAGAATGGGAAAGATTCGTGAGCCTTCCAGGCCATTCTCAATGTGGCCAAACCAGGGGACATCGCGGGTTCGTGCCTGGGTGGTTGGGCATGCCTAACCAATTCGGTCTCAGGCCACTGTCTGAACAGGCCTGGGCGCAGACACTTTGGCCGAGACTGAAGCTACTGGAGACTCGGTCTCACATGACTGGCAAAGCAAAGCGCCCCCCACTTTCCATACAGGAAAGGGCCAGGCGCGAGGGGAAGATATTCGAGCACTTGCAAGTTTGCGGCAGCGCTGCTTTGGGCAGTGCCATAGCCCAGCTCTCAAGTCCGTTATTACCCAGATGGGAAAATAGCTTAGTTGGTTAGAGTGCTGGTCTGTCACGCCAGAAGTCGCGGGTTCAAATCCCGTTTTTCCCGGGAGGTATGGCTGAGTGGCTGAAGGCATTGGTTTGCTAAATCAGCATACAACAAGATTGTATCATGGGTTCAAATCCCATTTCCTCCATTCCGTCGGGGGCGTAGTTCAAGTGGTAGACCATAGCTGCCTGCGTCGCGCAGGGCAAGGTGCTCGCGCACGTGAGGTCGTGTAAGGCAGGACACTGCTGTGGGCAGTGCCATAGCCCAGCTTCCATAGCTGGCTGGGCTTGGGTCACAGCAAGGGGTAGTGGTGGTCTTCGTGCATGAGGGAGAAGACGTGAGTAGAGGAGACAAGAGAGAGAGAGAGAGAGAGAGAGAGAGAGAGAGAGAGAGAGAGAGAGTTACCTGGTCTTGGCGATAGTCTACAAGGGTCGACATCTTCAAGTACTTCGGTTCTGCTGCTGACGTCAACAGTTGCATTGTCAATTCGTAGGCTGGTAGTCGCTATGTGATCGTAGTCTGGGCGCCGACCGCGAAGTAGGAGAAAGGGGCTCTGGATACTTATGTTGGTGATGGCGAGAGTATGCTCTCATTGACACTTGGATTCAGTGTTTGGGTTCTCCATTGGTGTACTCTCGGTGCAATTCTGCTTTCTGGACAGTGTCGGACTTCCTGGCTTTCAATGTGATTTTGCAATCTGAAATCTGCCATTTCGCTATTGCTCATTTCCCTTGCACAGGTGTGGGGTACTCTTAAAGTAGAACTTGCACAATATTGTGAGTAGCTTCTTTTTGTCAATTTTGGGCTCAGATCATGATGATGATGCCACCCAATATTTATTAAACCATGGCGCTAGACTAGCAGATTTGGTGAAACAACCACAATATACTATATAGTCCAATCTTAATTGAAAAGCAAGTTGTTGTTATTTATGCGGCCGTCAAAGGTTATTTAGATCAAATTCAGATTTCTCAAATTCTGAGATATGAACAAGAGTTGTTCCGGGTGGACTGTGAGGACCTCGACCTGCTCTCGCACAACAAAAACAATCACTGAACAAATCAATGTATCTTGTGTTCATAATACATAGTAGTATGGTAGTACAATTCACAATGTACAATGTACATACTATTCTACTATTCAGCAGGGTTGCACCCCCCGACGATCGGCGGCCCTTGACTGGTCGGCTGCCGACCCGCCGACCGATTGGCTGGTCGGC